TGCTGTGCATCTGAGCTGGGAAGCTTACTTTGTTTTACCCTTTCTGTTGACAAAACAAATTTCCATGTGTAAGTATATGGATTCTTTATTTATTTATTTATTTAGCTCTGGGAAGATTTCAAATAGTGTAGCATGTAGCTGTGAAGGACTTTTGTCTTGCAGGTAGAATGATGCAAATGTAGGTCGTAAGATACATACTTTGTGTATGTGCTAACAAATCCAAAATTAATTTTCTTCTAAATATAGCACATATAGTGACAGACCAAGGGATGATGGGAGCAAATTGAAACACTGGCAGTTCCACCTCCATGTGAGGAAGAACTTCTTTCCTGTGAGGGTGACAGAGCCCTGGAACAGGCTGCCCAGAGAGGTTGTGGAGTCTCCTTCTCTGGAGATCTTCCAAACCCGCCTGGATGCCACCCTGTGCCATGTGCTCTAGGTGTGCCTGCTGGAGCAGGGGGGTTGGACTAGATGATCTCCAGAGGTCCCTTCCAACCTCAACGATTCTGTGATTCTGTGACAGCACATATCATAGAATCATAGAATGCTGAAGGTTGGAAGGGACCTCTAGAGGAGGTCATCTTGTCCAACCCCCCTGCACACATAGGGTCACCTAGAGCATATAAGGCACATGATGATGTACAAGAGCTTCTCAGTATTCCTTTGCAATGGTCTTATCTGGGGCAGGATTTATGATTTAAGATGCCAAAAGCTAGTGTTTTATGTCTGTTACCGATCACTGGAGCCTGGAGAGATGTTCAGCTTATCCTAATGATGTAGCCTAGTGGCTGGATCATCTGAATCGCTTCCAATTGGTTATATTAAGGGCTCAATGCAGTTGCCCTTGCAGAAGTGGGGACAACGTATATGTTGATGATTGTTCTCCCGCCTCCCCACTCCATCCCTGCCATGTAAAACAATACCAAGAGATTTAAAGGTGGCAGTATGATGTGATAGACAATCTTCTCTAGGAGCTGCTCTACATTAAAAAACACTATTAAAAAAAATGAAATTTCCAGAGTTGCAGGGCATATTCAGAGGCATATCTTCTGAATCCTTTTACATATATGTGTGTATATATATATATATATAATATAACAGATATTGCTGTTTTCTCTTGCTCATGTTAACTCTGCAGAGCCACCTCATACAGGAAGGAATAAACAAGAGAACAATGTATTTTATGCATTAACAAGTTTGTTTATTGTGAGCTGAAGCTAATGGGATGTCCTTGTGTCACTGAAATGGCTCGTTTTTTGTGGCCAGCTAAAGAAATAGCGTCCAACTTTAGTCAGACCCCTGTCTTGAGTTTGTAGAAATAGAACCTCAAATGTCTTCTAGGTAGATAAATGTACTGGTATAATCAGCAAATTTCTAATCGCATAAGCCCAGTTTGAGGGGTGAATTTTGCTTTTTCAACCAGGACACAGGCCATTAAAGAAAAATAGTAAGCTTTCATAATATTTTTTTGGTGTGTGTTTTACCAACCCACGGCAGATTTAGATCCCTAGTTCATTATCCCACAAATGATCTCCCTAAAGCTGATGAGGCATTGCTTGGTGTGCCAGAATTGAATCCCCAAGTCTGTTTTGTAATTTCAACTTCAGCAAAGCTTACAAATGCTGTAACAAAATGAAGGATTCGGGTAAATTGGTGAAGGTTGTAATGATGGAGAGCAAATCCTTCCTAAACTGAGTGTTTATCTTTGGTTTTGTGACTTGGCAACAAAACAGGCATAGCATGTGAGAAATTTAAAATATAGGGTCTCTCCAAATATGATGTAAAGCTGCTCCTTTCATGTGGAATAGAATTAATGTTTTATCCATCTTTCACTTCATGACCAGTTCAGGACTGAAGGTGTAAGAATTTGAAGGCGGACCAGCAAGGGGAGCTCTACCAATATTTTAAACTGTTTTTTATAAATTGCTACAATATAGGCAATGGTGGATCACAGATTTAACAGACTTTGAAACATTCCTGTCTTTCTCTTTGGATATGCTTTAATTCAGAGATG